CCAGTACACATTCCCAGTACACATCCCCCAGTACACATTCTCCAGTACACATCCCCCAGTACACATTCCCAGTACACATCCCCCAGTACACATTCCCAGTACACATCCCCCAGTACACATTCCCCAGTACACATCCCCCAGTACACATTCCCAGTACACATCCCCCAGTACACATTCCCAGTACACATTCCCCAGTACACATCCCCCAGTTCACATTCCCCAGTACACATCCCCCAGTACACATCCCCCAGTACACATCCCCCAGTACACATCCCCCAGTACACATTCTCCAGTACACTGCAGAACTGTAAGTCCCTCTTCCTACAGAATCTAGATTGGGATGGAGGAAACAAAAGCATCAAAATAGTAGGATTTTTGTCTTGCCCTTTTATTCTCAATAATTACATTGATCTTTGTTAATACACATTTGCATAACTCTTCTATGTACAAGAATATACATGTATATATATATATATATGTGTGTGTGTATAATATATACATATATATTATATAAATCCTCATATAAGGATATGTTTATTGATTTTAGAGAGACATTAAGTGAGAAAGAGGAGAGAAATATTGGTGTGTGAGAGAAACATCCATCAGTTGCCTCCTATATGAGCCCTGCCTGGGAATCTAACCCACGACCTTTTGGTATATGGGATGATGCTCCAACTAACTGAGCCACCCAGCCAGAGCCAAGAATATTTTAGAGGCTATCTTACTTCTTCTTTCTGGCCCAAGATACAATTACAGAAATTAATTTATCTCTCAAAAATCTAGCTAGTACCTAGTAATACTACTAATAATAGCATTCACTTGATATTTAATTCTTAGTATTTATGTCCAAACCCATTTCTAAACAATGCATAGATGTTTTGCATAGTTAGTCTTTACAGCAACCATATAAAGTAGTTTGAGAATCACCATTTTGACTGTTCATTATGAATTGAAAAAGATAGTCTTTTTTATCTGCTTTATTATCTCACTGACTCATGGCTGGAAGGATTCGGTGATTATCAGGTATTAAAACACAAAAGGTAGGATAGCAGGAAAAGCTGAAAAGACAGAGTGTGATCAGATTTATATTTATCACCCTAACAAAGGGCCTGGCACATGCTTGCTGCTAAAATATGTTCCTTGAATCATTTATAGGTACTATGCCGTGGACGTTTTGCCTTTACTGACTTTTCTAAGTGAGACGTTTAATGTTAGTGTTCTAAAAAATCCAAGAAAAGCCTGGTGAAATCTCATCATTTTCTGAACATCGTAGCCATGTTTATATGTAGCACCATCTGGTATCTGTCATTATCCACTTTGCATAGTTGCTTGTCTTTCTGTGCATGCATAATCCTTTTGTCTTCAACGAGATTACGGCCCCTCCATGGCAGGGACTGTGTTTTATAGTTGATCTCCCACTGTGTCTAAACTCGTGCCTGTTACTTAATGAATTTTGAGCAATTGGAATAATTAAAAATAATGTCATGCTTTCAGAGAGATGACAGAAACTAGCTCCCTGTGATGATAGTGGTGCTTTTTTATTCCTGTTAGTTCATTAAGCTATTCCAGAGCTCCGGGACTTCTAGAAAGGCATGGAGAGCATGCAGCCAAAGCCCTGAACTCTATTTTTACAGTCGTGTTGGGAGCTATGCTTATTGCCTATAATACTACAAACAGTAAATCCAAATCCCATCTTCCAGCATGAGAATGTGTTAAGGAGGCTTACTTGTCAATCAAGAATTGTATTAGAAGCAAGGCCGTGTGTGTCTTAAGAAATTAAGAATTTTTTTAAAAATTATACATTTAAAAATTAGCACCTGGAAGAAAATATTTGCAAACCATATGTATTATGATAAAAGACTCCTATCCAGAATGAATAAGGAATTCTTACAACTTAACCATAAAATTAAGAAATAAAAATGTACATTATCCAATTAAAAAGTAGTCAATTACTTGTATGGACATATCTCCAAAGAAGATATACAAATGGCCAATAAGCACATGAAAAAATGGTCAGTATCAGTAGGCATTAGGGAAATACAAATCAAAACCACAAAGCGGTAACACTTCCCACCCACTAGAATGACCATTAAAGCAAACACAAAAAAATAACAATAGTAAGTGAGAGAAATAGGACCCCTCATACATTGCTGCTGGACTGTAAAATAATGCAGGCCCTTTGGGAAAAAAGTTTGGCTATTTCTCAGTTAGACCTCAATTTCCCATGTGACCCAGCAATTTCACACAGATGTAAGGACTGAAAATATATGTCCACGGAAAAACTTGTGCACTGTTGTCCAGAGCAGCATTATTTATAATAATCTAAAAGTGGAAGCAGACCAAATCTTCATCCACTGATAAGTGAATAAACTTAATGTGGTATGTCCATACAATGGAGGAGTATTTGGCTATAAAAAGGAATGAACTTTTTTGGGTGATGAATATATTCTGGAATTAAGTAGCAAAAATGGTGTCACAATTTTGTGAATATACTAAGCACCACTGAATTATATACTTCAAAAGGGTGAACTTCATGGCATATACATTATATAACACTAAAGCTTTTAAATAAAAATTATGGAGTAAGTGACGAGGAAAAAAAATGGCCTAAAATGCTTTCTTAGGGAGGGGACAGTAAAAATAAAGCTTGTGATAAAAGAGTTTAATCTGATTTTCAATTATTGGCTTTTTCTGCTATGTGCTTCTTATATATTTTATTTTGATCATTAAAATTTGAGTGAAATGGGGAAAAATTCAGTACAGTTGGCCTTGCATAGTTTTGGGTTCTACATCTGCAAATTTAAACAACCTTAGGTCAAAAATATTTTCTAAAGTTACTTTGCTGCTGACATGTCCTACTCACACATAGTTAGGCCTACAGTGGTGCCCTATTCCAAAGGTGAAACATCTACAGGCATAGTTCCTTGTTATTATTCTCTAAACAATACAACATGACATCTATTTACATAGCATTCGCATTGTATAAGGTATTATAAGTAATGGAGAGATGATTTAATGTAATCAGGAAGATGTGTGTAAGTTATATACTAATACCTCATCATTTTATATAAGGGACTTGAGCACCCGTGGATTTTGGTATGTATGGGGGTCCTGGAACCAATCCTCCATGGATATTGAGGGCGCGAGGGCATTTCCCACAGATCTTCCATGATATGTGTCCTATAGTTTGCTTCAGGGTCGTGATCAAATAATGGTATCCCTCTGTATGAGAAATAAAACGCAATCCCTTCCTGACCCTTGGTGTTGAAACATTGCTCTTTCTCTTTCCCTAGGCGTCTCAATAATAATGAATTCACCGTATTGGAAGCTACAGGAATCTTCAAGAAACTTCCTCAGTTACGTAAAATGTAAGCCGTGCATTAGCCATCTTTGTGACTTTCTGTTGAGTTTTGTTGTGTTTTCCCCACCCCTTGGCAGTTTTATTTCGATTTCTTTGGAAATTGGAAAATATAAAAAATCCAGAGAAATGTTCCTATAATGACTACCTGTGGCACGAATTGAGGGTAATCTCTGAGAGGAACCAGAGTAATTGGCATTTTTCTGTATATTCCAATGATGCCAACTCCATTTCCATAGCAGAGCAGTGGCATCTTTCTGTAGCTCAGACAGCTGGTCTGCTGTGGGCCCACAGCAGGAATCCAGCATCTAAGCACATGGGTGGGGGGGGGGGGAGCGGGCAGTCATGTGTTGTAACTTCCTGTGCTATTCCCCAAACCGTGCTGTTATTTCTCTTTCAGCACTTTCATGTCAACTATTTGACTTTTTGCTTCATTAAACTTTCATTAGGAGATAGTCAAAATTAATAATTGCTAAACTGGCTTGATAGCTCATCTGTGTGACTACATATCTACAACTCATATTTCAAAATAATTTTCTCAGCTCAGCAGTTTCAGCAACATTCAAAACAGTACTCCACCCCCCCTGAGAATGAGGGGAGGGAGCCACAGGGCAGAGGCCAAGAGTCCATGGAGCACCCTCCTCATAGGAGAGAGGGAAGGAGCATTCTTCCATGATACCCGTGCTCTTATACACGTAACTGGCCCACGGTCACAGAGACTATAAGAGGCAGAGAGGACTAAAACTACTTTTGTGTGCTTGACCCCAGGGTTATATACTGTCTCCCAAAGAGTTTCTACTGGCTTAGTTGTCCTCCTTTTTCTCTGACGTGAACTGCTCTTTTTTGTTGTTGTTGTTATTGTCTAGCTATAAGGTTCCCTTCTATACAATATATATTTTTTGAGAAGCTACTATGGGCAATGTTCTGAGAGGCATAAAATGATACGTAAAAATCACCCTTGTTCTGTGGACATTCCTGGTCTTGGAATGAGCAGTGAGAAAGAGAAAGGTGTTGCCTCAACTGGACATCCAGGCAAACATTGTAGTCTTTCATATCACACAAAATTCTGACAGTGGAGTTGGTTGTTTTGACCCATTTTTCCATGAGAAATTTCCCTGGGAACAAACTTATATTTGGATGTATCTCTGAAGCTATGTAAATGCTGGTATATTTTAGCCCACCCTCCTTTTTACTCAGTTGCCTTCTTTTAGTCGTTAATTCAGGAATACTTTTTAATCAGGAGCATTTCTTTGAAAAGTTCCTCATTAAGTTTTGTGGCAAACAAAGGTTTATTCAACTCAATACCTGACCTCAAGAATTGTATACTCCTAGAGACCCATTCAGATCATGTTGACAATGACCAGGCTGGTATTTTTCACCATAAACATTACCCCTCAGAAGTGTTATGGCTTTGGCTTGGTAAAATCCCAAAGCGGTGTCCCTTCAGAGCCCTGGGCAGGGCAGAGATTGGAGATGGTGGGAGACTGTTCAGCAGGAGAAAATAATCAAACATGTCTCGGTGCCCTCATTGTGAGAAAGAGATTGTGTAAAACCTGTGTTTCAACACTTTTTATTTAGAAACTTTAGCAACAATAAGATTACAGACATTGAAGAGGGAGCTTTCGAAGGAGCATCTGGTGTAAATGAAATACTTCTCACTAGTAATCGTTTGGAAAATGTGCAGCATAAGATGTTCAAGGGATTGGAAAGCCTCAAAACATTGTAAGTATTCTCATCGCGTTGTGATTCTTCTACAGGATTGTACTTCATGGTCGTTACAATCCTGGGAGGGGATGGAGATTCCATTCTTCCTCATCACCCCAGCCATAGCTCGCTCTCTCTCTTTCTCTCTCTCTAACTCTCTCTCTCTCTCTCTCTCTCTCTCTCTCTCTCTCTCTCTCTCTCTCTCTCACACACACACACACACACACACACACGTTGTTTGTGGATGCAGATTGTCTATTCCTCTAATACCTTGACTTCTGCATGTTGCCTGCAGAAGAGGAAAAGGGTCTCTCCTGGCTGCGATTCCACAACAAGAAGGTCTTTGCTCTACTCCTTGTGGAGCTTAAATCCTCTGATCAGCCTCAGAACAATGGTTCTTCTTCCTTTTCCTCAAATCCCTCCTTCTAAGACTCTGTCTTGGACCCAGGTCCCTGGCTTCAGCATCTGCTCCAGCCGCCTGGCAGAATATCATTTCACCGGGGGAACCCCTCTGGCTGCCCTGCAAGGTCTTAGTGCAAAAGACACTGACTGGTGTTGGAACTTTGACTACCAATTTCAAAGCAAATATGCCAAGGGTTACGAGTACTCACTTGCCCCGGGGTTGTGAGCTTGGGGAAAGGAAATTCTGTATGTTTCTAAAAGGTTGCTGGCCAAGGAGGATGGAATCGGATTGATTCCTAAGGACAACGCTAGAGTGACTTGGATTTCTACAGAGCACTTGTGTACTTTTCATAATCTCCAAAGTATGTAATTATGTTTGACAAAAGTGGTGGCCTGAACATTGGAAGAGACACAAAGCAAACTCTGAAGACAGCAGGAAACTCTTTGTCACCAAGCTGCAGCCCTGGCAATGGTAGTGGAGAGGGGCCCCAGCTCCACTGTCTCCCCTAAACCCTCTCCTCTCCCTCAGCCCTCAGAGCCACAACCAGGGCACTGAGAGCCTGGAAGTCCATGACCTGCTCTTTCTCACGGGCAGAGAGCTCTCCTCCAGTCAGTGGGGATGTTGCTGGCATCCCAATTTCAAATCCTGCTCAACAGCCTCTGCCCAGGGAAGTAGAATTGTGCTCCTTGAGGCACAGCCTGGAACCTAACCATCCGGCAGGACCCAGCTGCCACCTGCTGACCCCTCTCGTGGGTAACTTGGAGCCTCTTCAAGATGTTATGCAAATATTCAAATATTCCTTCAGCCTTTTAGGACAGAGATACTGAGTGTGTAGAAGAAGGCAGAAAAGCTATACCATGGATGGCTGCATCTACTCCTGCCCCCTCTCCCTACCCCCAAGCTGTCTCAGGTAACTCAGCAAAATGCAGATCCTGCAGCAAGCAGAATTCTTCCTTCGGAGACAATAGTTGAGGGACTCCTTGTCATTGGAACCTTCTTGAACGGGCAGTAGGAGGAACAGGAACTGTAACTCCAATTGTATTGGTCTGTCCTGGGCTGTCGTCATGAGAAACCAGACCCGATGACTTAAACAACAGGAATTTGTTTTCTCACAGTTCTGGAAGTCCAAGGTCAAGGTGCTGAGAGGGTTGGTTTCTGGGGAAGGCTCGTTTGTTGGCTTTTAGATTGCCATCTTTTCGCTGTGTTTTTATTGACCTTTCCTCTGTCATGGAGGGACAGAGAGCTCTGTGTCCCTTTCTCTTACAAGGACACCAGTCCTATCCTATTAGGACCCCGCCCGTAAGATCTCATTTAACCTTATCTACCTCCCTAAAAGCCCTCTTTCCAATGCAATCACATTGGGTATCAAGGGCTTCAACATATGAATTTTAGAGGAACACAGCTCCATTCATAACACCACAGCAAAGACCTTATCAAAACATTTCTTCTGACTAGTTTCATTCACAGGATTCATCTTTCTCCTTCATTATGTTCCTAGCCCTGTTTTTGTACCTCTTAAGTTTGGGCACCTCAGCCAGACATCCAACTGGCTCACTCCTTAATCCCACTGTATCACAACGAACATAACGGAGCATTCAGAGCCAAGCTCGGGGTAGTCAGAGGCCTCAGGCAGCTTTATCTGGACCTTATATTCCGCTCAGTGGTAACTTTCAGCTTGGAGCTATAAAGATTTTCGCAAGACACCCCCACTGTCCCCCAAGTTCTTAACCCTCCGGGACTACTAAATCTCTTAGCAGCGCATGTCCATATTTCAGTGAGTCTTGGTTTGAATCCCCGCTCCCAGGTGAAAGGTGGTAGGGATTTTTGTAGTGACAGAAAGCTAAGCTTTCTTCACCTCCTCCCAGGCGTTCCTCACTCCAACAGGAGTGAGACCAAGCGCTCTTCATTCTTTATGGTGAAGGGTGGAGCTGATAGAAATACTTTCCGTTGTGCCTTTGTGCCATCGCGTAAAATGATGTCTTCATGAGGGCTTCATCCTTTCTTCTTACCCATGAGTTGGCAGGATGCAGAAGTGGGTGTTTCTTATTTATTCTAGGAATTTAAAGGAACACTTTGGTGTTCATTTGTTCTGCCTCTTTTTTTTACATCTTGCAATCTTCAGAGTCATCAACTGACAATTAGAAAAATTAAGGGGAAAAAATGAACTTTTCAGCATTTATGAGTACGACTTATGGCAATGACTCATTTTGACGTGGGGATTTTAGAAACCTTCTGCAATTTTTCTAAGCCCCACAAATAATCAGTTTTTTTAAAAAAAATCAAGAACAGAGCCAAAACTTGAGCACAGTGTTAATCCTATTAATGACTAAAAAAAAAGAAAGAAAAAAAATGGTCAGAATTGTCTAAAGAGAAGACCCCTTTCACCTTCACTGTGAACAACTGAGATCTTTATTGCTTCTTTTAAGTTCTGGACTTAAAACAATGAAGCAGTTTTCATAATTAAAATGATGTGTGCAGGCTCTGTGGACGTTCAGTCAAGTTTGACTCCCCCGCTGATGTTGACACTGACTTGGCCTGTAAGTCCTTGAGATGCCCTTCATCCTTCATCTGCTGTGGTTATTGATTCTGTTCTGCCTCCTTTCTGTTCAGCCTTCAATGCAGTACTGCAGTGAATACACAGGTCACAGGGCCTTGCGGGCTCACAGAGCTGCAGGTGCCTTAGGACGTTATGTAATCAGGCAAACAAAATTATGCCATCCAAGGGACGCATCCTCCCCTCATCAGGTGGGGTTGGAAATCCACACCTAGGCTCACCTTGCTTTTTGTAACTGAGGGTAATCATTGTTTTATTTTTGCACAAGGCTCTCAGTGCATAGCCACAGGGCTTCCTAATGACTAGAGAACATTCAGGAAACAGTCCTGACCGCTACAGATTTGCAAAGAGGGGTTATCTTGGTCCTCAAATAGGCAAAAGTGATTGCCTGATGCTTTATCTCCATAACAATGTTCTCTTTTTCCCCCCTCAGGATGTTGAGAAGTAATCGCATCAGCTGTGTGGGGAATGACAGCTTCATAGGGCTGAGTTCTGTGCGGCTGCTTTCCTTATATGATAATCAAATTACTACGATTGCACCAGGGGCCTTTGACACTCTCCATTCCTTATCTACTCTGTGAGTATGAAAAATAGTCTTCATCTGTGTATTACTTGGGCCTCTGTGTTACATTTATTACTTTCATTGATAGCACTTTAACGCACTGTTAGGCATTTCATAAAAATGTGATCAAGGATTAAGTGGTGGTGGTGTTTTGTTTTGTGGTGTGTTTTTTTTAAGACAAATTTCTTCATGTTAAACTTATTTTAACTTTCTCTAAAAAGACTACCTACTATCTTATATGAAAATGTAACCAAGATCATAGTATTGTTCAATCAGTTTTTTTTAATAATAATGTGCTGTGGCTTCATTTTGAAATTTTAATTTTATTATAACTCGACTGTGCTGCAAGCAAAGGAAATGCTGTAGCTTTCCCTGAGTGTTTCTGCACGGGCATCTCTTCAGTATAAGTATCATCCAAACAGAGTTGATAGGGTCATTTCCACCACCCCATGTTCAAGGGCCATTCACAGTGACAGGGGCTGCATCGGGGTGACCTGACCAGCAAGAAGGGCTGTTCACTAGAGGGCGTTAACTGTGACATTAGGAAAATATTAAAGAAATAGGTTGAGCCTTTCCAGAAGGATATGTTATGTAGGTTAGGTCTAGACCAGGGGTGGGCAAACTTTTTGACTCGAGGGCCACAATGGGTTCTTAAAGTCATTTCCACCACCCCATGTTCAAGGGCCATTCACGGTGACAGGGGCTGCATCGGGGTGACCTGACCAGCAAGAAGGGCTGTTCACTAGAGGGCGTTAACTGTGACATTAGGAAAATATTAAAGAAATAGGTTGAGCCTTTCCAGAAGGATATGTTATGTAGGTTAGGTCTAGTCTAGACCCAGAACTTAGAAAGTGTCAAACACACACACACACACCCTCTCCAAACAATGCATTGCAAGCATATTACATATCACTATCTAAGAAGCAGTGCTTGAAAATATAAATATTACAAATCAAATCAGATTCTCCTGTAATGGTGACATACTAGTCTAACTCTAAAGGTAGTTAGAAAGAACAAAAAAAGAAGGGGGGGGGAGCATGTTCAACATAGCTCAAGTTGCTGAAGAAATAATTTGAGGAAAGCATCCCTCCATCAGGAAAGTACTTGATCCCCTTCCCACATAAAGTGCGACATTTTACATGGGGTGACTAATTTGTGCATATTAAACATGGCATGTTTATAAATAATGGGATCGTCAATAGGTTTGTGCTGAAGTGGTGAGATGCCAAAAGTGCGGAGATTTGTAGAAGTGAATTCATTTTTATAACTGGCATTTAATCAACTCAGCTGTCAGCTTCGATGGGAAACCTATTCTCTTGAGCAAATAAGAAATGGAAATCTTGAAATGACAAATTAATGAAATAGCTGTTGTCAGGTTAAACTCAATAATATAAGGTAATCAGCCTTCATCTTTATATTAAGTTGCTGCATTATCAGGGCAGGGGAGTCTGACAGCAGCTCAGACCTCAGATAAGTTTAAATGATCTCTAAATGAGCTATCCCTCAGGATCCACTGCATAAGCCCTAAATTGCTGCTTTCACTTTATTTTTTGCATGAAATTATTTGAAAGAATTCCGCATATGAAAGTCTTGTTATTTTGCAAATTTTACACATAAATATTTTAGCAAAAAAAATGCATCCCATATATTGTGATGGGGTATGAATCGGGGGCTGGGGGGCATTATGAAACATAAGGAACCATTTCAGCAGAAATCGTGTGGGAAGTGGTAGAATGGGGTTTTGAGAAATAAGGAGGTTTCTTTTTTAAGAAACCCTGACTGAACTCAACTCTGCATTGCTTGCATGTGGCGCTTAGAAACCTCTTGGCCAATCCTTTCAACTGTAACTGCTACCTGGCTTGGTTGGGAGAATGGCTCCGGAAGAAAAGAATTGTAACGGGCAACCCTCGCTGTCAGAAACCCTACTTCCTCAAGGAGATCCCCATCCAGGATGTGGCCATTCAAGACTTCACCTGCGATGATGGTAAGAAGGCCGCGCCCAGCCTGTGGTCCCCAGGCGTCCAGTGACTGTGCTGATGCTAAGGGTGCAGCTGCCCAGCGTATCCGCCCAAAGATAGTCCTGGCGCATCTTTTTCGTTGCTTTGTTACGTTTTAGCCAGAGGACACTTCCTTTCTCAGAGGGCACCTTCCTATCCAAACCTACTTTGTGCTTTTGAAGGCTGTAGATTTTCCAGTTTCCAACTGGCAGTTGGTACTGTTTTTACAGCTTCATTTTAACATTTCTTTATTACCCTAAGCATCTCTTCTAGTAGCTATCATTTCCAAATGAGAAAAGCAATTGACTTCTAAAATAGAAATGCTAGGAAATCCAACAAAAGTAATAATTTTCGCTTTTTCATGCACTCTATGTATCATGGCATTTTATTGGAGTAACCCTGTCAGTACACGAAACAGGTTCTGTAATTATTGCCAGTGAATACAGAACTGATTTGAGTTCATACTTTAAAATGAAGGACCCTGCCTGGCTGGCGTGGCTCCCCAGTGTGGGACATGCAGAAAGCAGCCGATCAATGATTCTCTCTCATCATTGATGATTCTATCTCTCTCTCCCTCCCTCTCCCTTCCGCTCAGAAATCAATAAAAATATATTTTTAAAAATGAGGGACCCACACCATTTTTGCGAAACATTTGAAATAATTCTGTCCCTTTATGCCTCTTCATGTCTGTCTCCTTAATTCAGTTAACACATAGATTCTAATTAAAAGTGTAATTTATATAAATAACTGCACAAAGACAGTAACTATTATCATTGTATTGATGATACACCCTGGACATTATTTTCTGGAATTCTGCCCTCGGCTGTCTGGAAATGGAGCTGTATGAAACGTATGGTGTCTGTAAATCCTTACTGCCCTCCACCTCCGTGATTATATGGCCCGAGATGGGTGCTTGTTACGTTAATTTAAAGCCATAAAATCATTTCTAACCTCTTCAAAGCTGCAAATCTGGGTTTTCCTGTATGTCTTTTGGCAATTTAGGAAATGATGACAATAGCTGTTCCCCACTGTCCCGCTGTCCCGCGGAGTGCACCTGCTTGGACACAGTGGTCCGATGTAGCAACAAGGGCTTGAAGGGTTTGCCCAAAGGAATCCCAAGAGATGTCACTGAATTGTAAGTAAAGCTTGTCTGTCTTTCTTTTCTGAATATTGAATATGTCATACTCCAAGGGAAATGGGCTTCACACCGAAGTTTTTACAGTCCTGTTCGCAGATTACATTCTAGGGGCCATTAATTAGTATCACATAAAACCTTAAACAAATAATACGAAAGCTAGTTCAGAGACCTTGGGAGATGCCGGTTGTGTGTGTTTCTCTTCTTTCACTGCAGGATTTCTCAGTGCCTTTATTATGCCAAGGTGCACTGTGGAGCTCCAAGAGAAGGTGGTAAAATGTGAGGTAGCTCCCATACTTACTTGTTTCTATAGCCCTTTTCCCATGGAGTATGTTGCAGGACTCATCCAGTGCACCGTGGGAAATGCTGTATATTTAGTTTATCTGCAGTGTCAGGATATCCCATTTGGTTAAGTATCCCTTACCACTGTGTCTCCTGGGAGAACATCTCACCATATGTGGTGCATTAACATCTGGGAGGTGGGAGAAGCTGGCATAATCCTGAAAAAGAAATGTGTGACTACCCTTTGGACTTGAATCAGAGTCCCTCGGTTTGTAAAGGGTGTGGGGCCAGTTATCTCTAACATTTTCATTACTGACATTTAACCACAGAGTACATTGCCAAGGCACAATATCCAGACACTAAGCACCACCCACACCTCCTTAGCGGCCTCGTGCTATGTGCTGCTCTGTGTGGGAAATAGAATAAATCAGAGACTAGACTGCTTAAACGGTCTGCATGCGTGCTCTGTTCCATTCCTTCATCTGTGTACCATGGGCCATGTACACATGCCTGACATGCAATTAAGTTATTTTGCCTCATTGATTTTTGTCTCTATGGAACCATGCATCAAAAACGATTTAAGTCCAACTCTACCTCATGCAAATGCGTACCTGTCATTAATGCAGATGCATCCAAGTACCCCCAATGAGCAGCTTTGATAAACTTTGGTCCACGCGGAACACTCTTAATGAGGTTTAAGGAGATGCCACTTCAGTTGTCAGAAAACTTGTTTTCAAATCCTGTGCAGTTCTCTGAATCTTAATTTGGTCCTGAATGGAACGCTTAGACAGAAACCGTGCGATCTTAGCATGTGTGCACAGAAGGTCCCTCTCGGATTTGAATAGTTGTGAGGTGATCGGTTTCTCTCTCTGACTACCAGTCGCAGTTGTTAGTTAATGATAAGCACTGTTTTTTTGTGTGTATGTGGTGTGTAATTAAAGACTTAATTCTCACTTTAATGTGTATTTAGTTCAGAAGGTTTCCCTCCATTCAGCGTTGGGAAGCTAGATGCCTATGGAATAGTCTGTATGCATTGATTCTAGGTGCACCCCACCAAGGACATAGCATACCATTCAGATTGTCTTGATGCTAAATCTCTTCTTGGACCATTTAACTGGCTATCTCTTAGTCATTTTACCTGGTTCCCATTAAATAATTTTGACCTTGATTTTTGAAAACAATTTGCCCGGCTGGCATGGCTCAGTGGTTGAACGTTGACCCATGAACCAGGAGGTCATGGTTCTATTCCTGGTCAAGACACATGCCCCAGTTGTGGACTCCATACTCAGTGGGGGGGGTGCAGTAGGCAGCCAATCAATGACTCTTTGACTCTTTGTCATCATTGATGTTTCTCTCTCTCTCCCTCTCTCTTCCTCTCTGAAATCAATAAAATATATTTTAAAAATCATTAAAATATTTAACATTCTTTCATTTCCTTACTAAACCATATTTGAGAACCTGTTTGATCCATGTCCTGTCTATGCCATTTCCGTGTTTCTTTTATCATGTAGTCAAGCCTTCCATCTATTTCTCTACAAATGTTTTAAAGTAATCTCTTTTGCTACAGAAAATAGATTTCAGAGATGAAAAGAATGAACTCATCTCTTGTAAATTCTAGGTTTACTCCCCCAGAGAGCTTATTCTTAGAACCACACTGAGTCAGCAGTATTTCTCTTTATATATGCTTGTATTAGAAAAATGCCATGTGCTTATTTTATTGAATTATTAAAGAATTTGGTGAAATAATGTTGGTGGAAAATGTTAAACAAACGGTATCTATTATTTTTAATCAGTTCCATATAATTTCCCTCTTAGATTGTTTTACATGTAAACATGCATAGCACTACATTCTGGAATGAAGGGAGAGTGTTGAAGTACATGGGATTATGCTGCCCTCTAGTGGTAACAAGAAAACATTTATCTACAAGAAGAAAGGAGGGAGAGGAGTTGAAATATAGTCAGAAATTTTGAGTAGGCATAAGGACTCATCTCATGTGCTGGCTCTTAATCAAATATTTACTATGTACTTTGATAATTTGTGATTTTTTCATAACTGCTTTTGTTTTGAAATAGTTGAAATAGACTGTTATCTTAGGCAATTTCTCAGTTATTGCTGTATTCTGCAAAAAATATAACCTCAACCCCGGATCTTGAGATTGGCCCCAACACTGAGGCAGGAGGGGGGTCACATGCCCCTGCGCCAGAATTGATTGTGGGCACTTCTGTACAAATGACCCAAGTTAGTGAAAGAATGTTTACCCCTCCCCATCTATATTCTGGGAGAGAAGAGCCTGGGAGGAGACAGAATTGTGTGTGTGTGTGTGTGTGTGTGTGTGTGTGTGTGTGTGGACACGTACACGCACACGCACACACGTGTGTGAGTTATCATGGATATTTAAGCATTCCTTTGCTTTTGTGTCTTGCCAGTTAGCCCAGAGCCTATCTATTCTCTGATTATTCTGCTGACTCTCATCAGAAATGGACAATTTACTTACATATGGTTATTTGATTATTACTTTTGCATATAGATGCTATTTTTGTGCACTTGGTAAATGTGATTTTCTAAGAAACCTCCTACAAGTAATACCAGCAAGTAGATATACAACGGTAAAAACTATTTTAAGGTATTATTAATTGAAATCTACTTCTGTTTAAATTCCCAAATATCTCCTTTACAACATTCATTGTTGTTTACTAATATGCTGGTAATATTACGGCGGTAAAGAGTGGTCTCGCCCTCGGCAGCAAGGTTCTGCCCGTAGGGGGTGCCTTTCATGGTACTGCCTCCACATAAACACAAGCAAAGTGGGGTTTGACTACAAATGTGCTTATTTGAATGAACCTTCTTGCTGACAAGAAAATGGCTGGACACATGCCTGCCTTCTCAGAAAACCACGAAGAACTGGACTCGCCAGTCTCTCCTGGATTTTAGAATTTAGCCCAAGTGATCCACAAAAGAATCTGCTGGATTGGACAAAGCAATTTTTTCTTTTTCTCTTCAATAGCAATCTCAGCTAGGAACATGACATCTTTGTTTTAAATATCTTTTATTGATTTCAGAGAGGAAGGGAGAGGGAGAAAGAGATAGAAACATCAATGATGGGAGAGAAATATAGAAACATCAGTGATGAGAGAGAGTCATCAATTGGCTGCCTCCTGCACGCCCCACACTGGGGATCGAACCTGCAACCAGGGCATGTGCCATGACCAGGAATCAAACCACTCAACGCTCAACCACTGAGCCACGCCGGCTGGGATATGAACATGACATCTTGAAGTCAAAATTACTAAGTGCTTTCTTACCTCCAATAAAAGTGAAATATTCTTCAACTATTCTAGGATACACTACTGTTACTTTTTAAAAATATGCCCTAGCCGGCTTTGCTCAGTAGTTAGAGCATCAGCCCATGGACTGAAGGGTCCCTGTTTCACTACCCAGTCAAAGTCACATACCTCAGTTGCAGGTTCTATCCCCAGCCCCTTTCCAGGAGAGCGTAGGAGGCAACAAATAAATGTGTTTCTCTCACATCCATGCATTTCCACCTTTTTCTTCCTTCCTTTCTTTCTTTCTTTCTTTCTTTCTTTCTTTCTTTCTTTCTTTCTTTCTTTCTTTCCTACTTTCTTTCTTCCTTCCTTCCTTCCTTTCTTTCTTCCTTCCTTCCTTTCTTCCTTCCTCTCTCTCTCTCTCTCTCCCCTCCCTCCTTCCCTTCCTTTCTCCTTCCTTCCCTTCCTTCCTCTCTCTCTCTTTCTCTCTCTCTCTCTTTCTAAAGATGAATGGAAAAGATATCATCAAATGAGGATTAAAATAATAATAATAGGAATAATAATAATATTGTTTTCTTGTTTTTAGATACCTGGATGGGAATCAATTCACATTGGTTCCGAAGGAACTCTCTAACTACAAACATTTAACACTTATGTAAGTACCGTATGTTTCTGCCTTTGACTTCTCATTCTGTTTCATGAAAATGGGATAGCAGGGGCAGAGATGTAGTGAGCCTTCTGGATAATATAACTCACAGTCAGAGACTCCCCCTCGCTCACCTGGTTCTGGATCGCTAGCTCTGGCTTCACTGTGTATCAGTCCGGACATGGCGAGGCCTAGAAAAGGTCCTCTCGTCAAAGTACAAATACGGTTAAGTCTGTGTATCAAAGGATTGTAAAGATTTGGCAAGAAGGGTACTACTATTCATAATGAATATGGGCTATTTTATACAAGCCAAGGAAAGGTAGAAAAACATATTTTTATTCTTGACTTTAAACAAGAGATAGTAGATGATTGTAATCTCACTGGAAACATAAATCTAGTTTATTAGGTTTGATTCTCTTTATATAATAAATTATGAATTGTTATGGGCTTCCAGTATTCAAATTCATTTTATAAAATCTATGTTTACTTCTACAGTATTTAAGAAAATGTGACAAAGACGCTGACATTCTGAGTATAAATTTCAAAACACTGTTGTTGTTGTTTTAGTTTGGTTTGATGTCCTAAGACAATAACTTTTTCTCATTCATGTATGTAAATAATTTTTTACCATTTTAAAGTAGATATAAGATTATATTTAAGCACACAAAAATTTCTATCTAGTTATGTGCAAAATGCTTTTAAAAATATATAACCTCACCCAATATAATGTCACAATTAGAGTAGCCTTGATAGAAACTGATAATATTTCTCACAAAACAAAATATTAGCAACAATAGTGAATGTAAAGGGAAATACTTTTATCTTGTTTAAGTCTATCTGGTTTTAGAGTAAATATGACTGGCTTAGGAGGCAGATTTCTATTATTCCTATAATAAGGAGGTTATTCCTAATTGGTGAATTCTAGAAACCGAGGTAGCAGAAGATGTTGAATTTCTCAATGTAAACATTGCCCTCTGGCAGCGATTTTCAAGTGGAGTGCTACAAGAATTTTTAAAACATGCTATGCCTGACTATTTAGCCAGGGGCACTGATATCTTTTCCCTTTGGTTGTCAAATTTAAAAAATGACAATAGCCAACACAACAATAGCCAACAATTTTGAATGTATCAAAATTATACCTCTTTCTGCCCTGGCCAGTGTTGCTCAGTGGTTGGAATGTCGGCCCATGCACTGAAGGGTCATGGGTTTGATTCCTACTCAAGGGGCACGTACCTGGTTTGCAGGTTCTATATCCAGCCCCAGATGGGGCACATGTGGGGGGAAAACAATAATGTGTCTCTCTCACATTATTGGTTTCCTTCCCTCCCTCCCTCCCTCCCTCCCCGGCTTCCCAAAAAAAATAACTCACATAAATGAGTGAGGATTAACAACAACATGAGTGAGGATTAACAACAACAAAGGTATACCTATTTTTTGTGAAGTCGGCAAACATTATAATATAGTTGTGGTGTTCTGCAGAATTTTAATAATGAGTTTGTGCGCCATGAAATGAAAAAAGGTTGAAAATTGCTGCCCTAGGGAGGTGGAGGTTAGTTAAGATGATGCTTACGATTTTCAATTTTCCTTAAAAATACAGGAAAACACTTTGTAAGAAGCAACCAGGATTGTTTAGATGACAAACTATGAAATTAAGGAAAAAGGAATACCCTCCAAGGCGCCTTGTTCTGCCCTAGTTATTTGTTTAACAGCAGCAACAAGCGATTACGTGCATTTTGTTCTGTTAAATAAACCTTTAAATTGCTGCAGTTTCCAAAGGGTCACTGGAGCAGATTCGGGTCATTTGCAGGACAGTGCGTAATTATTAAAAACCAATTTGAAAATGAAAAATGAGACTTTGTAGATCCACAAATGGTTTCACCAAGGAGTCATTTTGCTGATATAGATATATTTATTTCCTTTTAAAAGTTAGGTATAGTACTTCAGCAGTTGAGAACATGGATTTTAGAGCTTCCATAACATCCCTACTATTTTCATAATTTAATAGGTCCATTTTACTGATACTTTTGGTGCTTTAATAAAGGAATGGATAATTAGCTATTCTGGATCTTGCATTTAACGATTCATATATTTTACTTCAAAAAAATTTGTGAATATAAATACACACACATAAATTAACATAAATTATATCCTAAATTATTTATTCATGAATTTTCCTCTTATTTATATATTTGGCATTTTGCTTTAGGAAAACATTAGTGAATATATACACCTTCACTAATATCTGTGTCATTGTTGAATATATGGAAGTGTATATATTCATAATTTTTCCTAAAGTAAATGCAAAATATGTATATGTATATGTTATATATGATTATATTTCATTATATATTACTAGAGGCCCCGTGCACAAAAATTTGTGCACTCGGGGTGGGGGTCATTCAGCCCAGCCTGTGCCCTCTTGCAGTCTGGGACCCCTCAGGGGATGACCACCTGCTGGCTTAGGCCTGCTCCCCGGGGGGTTGGGCCTAAGCTGGCAATCAGACATCCCTCTGGCAGCCCAGCAGCCCTCGGGGTATGTCCACTTGCCAGCGGGGAGCAGACCTATGCTGCAGTCAGACATCCTTAGCGCTGCTGAGGAGGCAGGAGAGGCTCCCACCACCACCGCTGTACTGGCAGCCATCAGCCTGGCTTGTGGCTGAGCAGAGCTCCCCCTGCGGGAGCGCACTGACCACCAGAGGGCAGCTCCTGCATTGAGTGTCTGCCCCCTGGTGGTCAGTGTGTGTCATTGTGACCAGTCATTCCCAGTCTTTCTGCTGTTAGGGTCAGTTTGCATATCACCCTTTTACTATATAGGATAGAGGCCTGGTGCACAGGTGGGGG